CATTTACTAAGGGCTCTACATGCTTAATTTCATGTTTCTAGGTTAAATTTTATAGAAAACTCAAAAAGTACCAGTCGAAGGACGAAAAAGTACCAAAAAGTCCCCTATTATAGATTCTCATTTACTCTGGGATCTACATGCTTAATTTCATGTTTCTAGGTTAAATTTTATAGAAAACTCAAAAAGTACCAGTCGAAGGACGAAAAAGTACCAAAAAGTCCCCTATTATAGATTCTCATTTAATAAGGGCTCTACATGCTTAATTTTATGTTTCTAGGTTAAATTTTATAGAAAACTCAAAAAGTACCAGTCGAAAGACGAAAAAGTTCCAAAAAGTCCCCTTTTATAGATTCTCATTTACTCCGGGCTCTACATGCTTAATTTCATGTTTCTAGGTTAAATTTTATAGAAAACTCAAAAAGTATCAGTCGAAAGACGAAAAAGTACCAAAAAGTCCCCTTTTATAGATTCTCATTTACTAAGGGCTCTACATGCTTAATTTCATGTTTCTAGGTTAAATTTTATAGAAAACTCAAAAAGTACCAGTCGAAGGACGAAAAAGTACCAAAAAGTACCCTTTTATAGATTCTCATTTACTAAGGGCTCTACATGCTTAATTTCATGTTTCTAGGTTAAATTTTATAGAAAACTCAAAAAGTACCAGTCGAAGGACGAAAAAGTACCAAATAGTCCCCTTTTATAGATTCTCATTTAATAAGGGCTCTACATGCTTAATTTTATGTTTCTAGGTTAAATTTTATAGAAAACTCAAAAAGTACCAGTCGAAGGACGAAAAAGTACCATAAAGTCCGCTTTTATAGATTCTCATTAACTAAGGCCTCCGCATGCTTAATTTCATGTTTCTAGGTTAAATTTTATAGAAAACTCAAAAAGTACCAGTCGAAGGACGAAAAAGTACCAAAAAGTCCCCTTATATAGATTCTCATTTACTCCGGGCTCTACATGCTTAATTTCATGTTTCTAGGTTAAATTTTATAGAAAACTCAAAAAGTACCAGTCGAAGGACGAAAAAGTACCAAAAAGTCCCCTTTTATAGATTCTCATTTACTCCGGTCTCTACATGTTTAATTTCATGTTTCTAGGTTCAATATTATAGAAAATTCAAAAAGTACCTTTTGAAGAACGAAAAAGTACCAAAAAGTCCCATTTTATAGATTCTCATTTACTCCGAGCTCTACATGCTTAATTTCATGTTTCTAGCTTTAATTTTAAAGAAAACTCAAAAAAGTACCTGTGTAGAACGAAAAAGTAGCGAAAAGTCCCTTTATTATTAATTTCATGTTTCTATTTCAATATCATAGAAAACTCAAAAAGGACCAGTTGGAGAATGAAAAGTACCAAAAAATATCACTTGATACCGGGGTTCCAAATAACACCCCATTAGGATATTTAGTGTTTCTAAATTTAAAAATTTTATCTAAATTGGATCATTGTGGTTGAATAAAATCAAATTTCCCGTTTTTACCCCTTTTGGTACTTTTTTCCTCCCCATTAACGAAATAAAAATTCTATTCCAAAAAGTTGCAACATCGTAGTGGGAGCCTGTTATTATGTATTCATATATAAGTTAATAAACCAAAAACAATGTTTTATGAAAAAAGTACCAAAAATAGGTACAATTTTAACCCCTTAAACGTCCGAATATCCAAAAAGTACTAAATTCATATTTTTATTTTTTCGTTAAGTTATGAAGGAGTCAAATATATTTTTTGAATGTGCACTGGTTTAAAAGATACATGGGGTGCGAAAAAAGTACCAAAATACAGTTTTTACCCGTTTATTCCCTAAAGGGGCCGAATTTTAAAAAAGTACCAGACACCTGTCCGTTTATTTTTTAAATGAACGGCGATAAGCTTTAAACTGTTTTTGTATCTTTTCTAGTTTAGGAGATATAAGGTTACCGAATTTACCCGTTTTTACCCTTTTTTACCCCCTAAACATTCGAATTTCCAAAAATCCCGTCTTAGTGGATCTATTTGGCGGGAGACCAACCTCCTGTCCAAATTTCAGCTCTTTAGCTTCAACCGTTTAGGCTGTGCGATGATGAATCAGTCAGTGAATCAGTCAGTCAGTCAGCAAGGTTAGAATTTTATATATATAGATATACTAGCTATACCCAGTGTGCTTTGCTACCCTAAAAACAGTATAAATAAAAACCGCACTTTATGATTTTTGAAGATTCTAGTTCTGTTAGTTTCCCAGTTATACGAATTTTTATTTCAATCCATATGGGAGGTACCATAGCCCATTTTGATAGTCCACAATAGGGGTATGGTACCTCCCATGTTCACATGAATGTGAAAATTCTTTCTGCAAAATTGTAGGATTCTATATTCAAGTATTCACATGTCAGAGTTGTTAGCGCAAAATTTAAGGATTTTAGCTGTAATAGTATCTCAGATATACAAATCTTTGTATTTAATTCATATAAAATGTTCCAAGAACCCAAAATGAATGTCCGCACATTTTACTTCCAAATGTTTACTTTTATGTTAATTTTAAGATTCTACCTCTAATAGTTTCTAGATAAACGAATTTTTGTATTTAATTCATATGGGAAGTACTACTTCCCATATTGCTAGTCTGCCAATTTATTACCCAAATGTTAAAATGAATGTCAAAGTTCTTCGTGCTAAATTTGAGGATTCTAGATATGATAGTTTCCCTGATAAACGAATTTTTTATTTAATTCATATGGGAGGTACCACGGCCCCTATTGCTAGTCCGCCAATTTTTTGTCCTAAGTATTCATGTTGATACTAAAGTGGCTCAGAAAAATTAGAGGGCTCTAGTTGTTATATTTTCTCAGATAAGGCTTTCTTTATATGGGAGGGGCCACGCCTCCATATAAAAAAAACGGACTATAGCTAGTCCGCCCATATTGTCCACATATGTTCTTGTGGATGTCAAAGTTCTCCATACAACTCTAGCTGTTGCAGTTTCTTATTATGTATGTGGGCGTGGCAATTTGCCCACATAAAATTTTAAAATAAAAAGTAGCCTATAGTTCCCCCAAAATGATCACATAGTTGTTAAAGAGCTTCGTGCAAAAAAGTTTCCCAAATAAACTATTTTTATACCCTCCACCACCATCAGTGGTGATAGAGGGTACATATAACTTTGTCTGTCCGTCCTTCCGTCTGTCTGTCTATCTGTGTCACGTTAAAACGAAGCCATAGAAATTCTCGAAATTCACCCAAAACAGTTTGGTATTGAAAATCAGTAAAATCGGTTCACGACGTAAAAAGTTATGAGTTAAAATTTCAGACTACCTCGAAAAAAATAACGTTTTTTTTTCCCAATTTTTAAGTAGTTTTCTCAGAAACTACCAAATTATTTCGATGAATTTTGTTACACATTTTTTTGTGTCAGGGATCAATTATGTTCAAACTCATAACATTTGATCCAATATTTCCCATAGCCCCCATACAAAGGTGTATATTCCCGGAAATTAGTTTATCGTTAATAACTCCCTCAAATATATCGGTATCAACACAAAATTTTGTACATACAAATATAATATGAATAGAAATCATACTACCAACGTAGATCTCAGTCGGCCCACATTTGGTCATAGCTCCCATATAAGGTCCACCTCCAAAAATCACCTAAACGCACTTATTTCATTGATAAATAAAGCTTTTGTGATATAATTCGAGATGAATATGTTTTGCGTACATACAAATCATTCTACCAAATTTCTTTTCGTATTGGTCCATTATTAGTCGTAGCTCCCCTATAAGGCCCACTTCCGAAAATCACTTAAATGCACATATTTCATTGATAAATAAAGGTATCTTGATAAAATTCGACACAAATATGTTTCGTCTATACATGAACTACTCTACGAATTTTTTTTCGGATATGACCATAATTGGTCATAACTCCCATATAAGGTCCACTTCCGAAAATCACTTAAACGCATATATTACATTGATAAATAAAGCTAAAGTTGAACTTGAATATGTTTTGTGTACATATAAATCATAATACGAAATTTTTCTGGAGAGTCCCGTAATTGGTCATAGCTCCTATTAAAAGTCCACTTCCGAAAATCAATTAAACGCACATATTTTATTAATTAATAAATCTATTGGAGTAATATTCGACTTGAATTTCTTTTTTTGCATATAAATCAATATACGAAATTTTTTCTTGATCGGTCCATAATTGGTCACAACTCCCATATAAGGATCATTTCCGGAAATTACTTAAACGCACATTGAAATCAAAGTCATAAAATTCTACATAAATGTATATTTTGTATATATAAATCGTTATACGGAATTTTACTTCTGAAAATCACTTAATACCACTTAATTCATTATTAAATGATTATATCCAAATAAAATTCCACATGTGTATGTTTGTTTATAGATAAATAATTTTAGTAAAATGTTTGCAACTGGCCTATTAATATAAAATTTTATGAACCTTATCAAAATTAGTTCCAAATATGCATAAATGTTAGTACCCTCAGTACGGAAACAAAAACGTTGTCAAGTTATCTAAAAATTAGATAGTTAAATGAGTTTTAATAAAAACTAGCTTGCTGGTGGAGGGTATTTAAGATTCGGCATAGCCGAATATAGCACTCTAACTTGTTTTGTATGTGTTTACTTAAAAATACATCCCTGACCTAATGCGACTTGCTTGTTTTTTGAATCATTTCAAAAAATGAAGAGAGCCATACGACTGTCAAATTTTTCATCCGTATTTTCTCTAAATAACATATTGCGTTTAGACGATGCCATCCGTTCTCTTCTACACAAAGTTTTGACAGATCATATTACTTGTGTGCTCGTGTGAAGGGGGCTTTAGTGGCATAAACATAGCATTTACATACTAGGTATGTACATCTTTCCCACTGAATTTTACAAATTTGCGCAATATTTTGATTCACAATGCATATTATATTTGTTGTCAATACATTTTTATTTTTGAATATACTTGGTACATTTTTATAACTATATACTATATATGATAAATATAAATATATTTTTTTGCATTTTATTTGAACAATTCATAAATAGACGTTTAATTGTACACATAAATAAATATGTATTCAGTTTTTTTGAAAAGATAATCAAATTATTTCGTTTTAAGCGGATTTTTTTCCGTTTTGATTTCCCACTATATCACCATTGTTCAGTTTAGAATCATCGTGCTCAATTTCATTTTTTATACCATTGCCAGTTTCTTCACTTAAAAGCGACTGTGTAATGGAAATAACATTGTTTCCAGTTTGTAGAGCGTCTACACTTGCAGCCAGTAACTGATCTTCAGGTTGCGAAAACATCAGTTGCTTATTATTCTTGGGTGAAATTTCTACAGGGTCACTCTTGAATTTCTCCACTGTCATGATGGTTGTTGTAACAGCATTGCCATCGTCACTAGTGATGAATGTAGATTATATGTTATAAAGTTTAAATAGAAACTTTTCTTATGTTTACTTTAATTACCTAGTTTTCATGACGACACTCGTCTGTTTACTATCGGAAAGTTGATCAACACTTTCTGGTATTTTGGCTTGAAGTTCTTGCAACATATCTGAAAATATGAAAAAAAATAAATTTTTATGAAAATTAATATAATATTTTATATAGTTATATGTACATTTAAAGAGTTCCATTTATACGGAACCTAAAATATATTGATATTGGTTCCAATGATTGAATGGCATGTGTATCAGTTAGTGTTTATAAAAAACCGACTTTTGGAAAAACCGGTTTTTCGGATAACCGAAAATTGACCATTTCCAGAAAACCGGTTTATCGGTTAACCGAATATACAAAAACCGGTTAACCGAAATGTTTGGAAATCTTTAAAATATTATAATATTTAGTTGAAAAATGTCATTTTGCGAAATATTATGAATTACTTAATAAGACGTACATAATAAATCATAAGAAAACAAACTTTAACAGATCTGAAGATATTATTGATTCGTTAGGTATATGGAAGATGTCATAAGAGGGATAAATTGACCTTTGAATATATAATGCATCTATATCAATAAACAAGTAAGAAACTACAGTCGAACGTGGCCGACCATATGATACCCTACACCAATTACCAATATTATTTGTGATTCATTTTCAATAATAAAGAACATATGTTGAATTTTTCTTGGTTCCAAATTTATTGAAGAACAAGTCAGAGTCCTATATTCGGCTATGCCGAATCTTAAATACCCTCCACCTGTAAGCTACTTTTTATGAAAACCCTTATAAATATTACTAGATACATACGTATTTAATAAATTGTGAAAGTTTAAATTGTGCTTCCGTGATGAGTGTACTATCATTTAGAAACCATATATACCTTTTATGGAGATATGGCCAATTATTGACCAATCCGAACAAAATTTCATAGAATGATTTTAGATAAAAAACACACTGTGTCGGATTTTATCCGTATATATTTATAATTGAATGAAATATATTGGAAAAAGTGACTTATGGAAATGGGCCTTATATGAGAACTAAGACCAATTATGCATTGATCCTAATTTTAAAAAAAAAAGATTTCTTATATACACAAATATCCTTATTCCGATATCTTTATTTATCAATGAAATGTGCGATTTTCTGAAGTGAATCTTATATGACAGATATGAACAATTATGGACCGATCCGTAAAAAACGTATTTTTATAGCCTATTTATACACTACACCACTTTAAAGTATACCAATCGGCTTAGAATCATTTTCTGAGTCGATTTGGCTATGTCCGTCCGTCCGTTCATATAAACCTTGTAACCAAACTACAGTGATGCCAGGAGATTTTTTTCAGAAATCCCTACGCTAATGAGAAAAAATCCCTTTTTTCCCTACACCCACTTCTCATTTTCCCTACATTTTTCCCTACACTACTTTTTTCCATTTTTTTCAAAGTTTATCTTAAAAAAATACAAAAATAACATCAAAAACTAAAATATTAGCTCCGTTTTATAATATACATATATGTATGTATTTTTTTTTTTTAATTTTTTGGAATGAAATTTCTAGAATTTAAATTTAAATTTTTTTTCTTTCAATTTTACATCATACAAATCTTCCAACCCTGACTCTTCAGTTAAGATTAAAAAAATCAATTGAAAAATTTATGGCAGTATATCGAATCGTGATAAAAATTTATTTTATGTGCCTCCAACAAAAAAATTTTCATAAAATAATTATTTTAAATAAGGTTTACTTTTGCGTTTACTTTTTGCGGTTTACTTTTATAAATTTTCAGAACATTAAATTCATTTTTTCAATCCTGAGTTACTGCATTAAGCCCCCGACAGTCAGAATATATCGCCCTACAGGATTGGCATAATCCAAAAAGTCGTTTCAAGAAAAATGGATATGAATATTTAATGACATTTAACTATTTTTTTAATAACTTTTAAACAAATCAAGGGGTTTTAAAAATCCAGATTCAGATAGTTGAGGTTAATATGTTTCTCATCTAAATTGAAATTAAATTTTTAGTTGTCTAATATTCACAAAAACGTGGGTTTTAGTTTTTACGTTTACAAAAAATCGATTTCACATCGAAAATAATAGACATATTTGAAATTTCATAAATCTATATGAAAGATTTTAGTATGTCGCATGTTTTGAAGACCTTAGTTCAAGAAAGCCGAATTTTGGATTATGCCAGTCTTGTAGCGATATGTAGGTACATATATTGTAGAAATTACAAGCGGAATTTTTACTAACGATACACTTAAAACTGATTTCATTTTTAATTTAAAAGTTTAATACATGAAAGAGTATATTTTTAGTTGTTAAAAACTATGAAATTGAAAAATCCCTACAATTTGACAATAGTAAGAAATCTTTCCCTTTTCCCTACACGTGAAATTTTTGAAAAAAATCCCTACAAAAAGGGAAAAATCCCTACACTTGGCATCACTGCCAAACTATAGGTCGCAATTTTGAAGATAATTCAATGAAATTTGGTACATGATTTTCTTTTGTTGGACGAAGCCTATTGAAAATGGTTAAGATCGGTCCATTATTTCACCTAGCCCCCATACAACTGAACCCCTGAATAGGGCTTGTAAAGCTTGTAATCAAACTTCAGGTCTCAATTTTGAAGATAATTCAATGAAATTAGGCACATCATCTTCTATTAATTTAATTATTAATTATTAATTTAATTAGTTTTTTTAGGGCATTATTTCACATTTGAAATGGGGAGTTATTTCATTATGAAATAATTCCTCAAAATTCAAAAATGAAATAAATCCTTAAAAATATTTTTGGGGAGTTATTTCATTTCATATTATTTCATTGTCACACGAAATAAATAATATATGTCTGATAGCCGGCCTTCGGCCGGGCTCAAGAATTTTATCCTCTGGGTTACATTGGACACCGGCTTCGCTAAGAATACACTCTCCTTGTATCAAAAGTGTTCGGCCTTAGGCCGGCTATTTAGGAAATATTTACTAAGCGAAGCCGGTGTTGGTCATATTTTTTTAAAAATGTCACTAAAACCGACTTGTGTCATAATTTGTTATTTTTAAATGGGAACTTATTTCATTTTAAAATTAGGGATTTGTTTCATCTATATATATAAAAAGCTTGCGTGACTGATTGACTGACTGATTCATCATCGCCCAGCCCAAACCGTTAAAGCTAGAACCATGAAATTTTGGTTATAGGTTCCTTTGGCATTGTATAGATAGAAACTCGAACGTTTAGGGGAAGAAATGGGTAAAAAAGGGTAAAATTAGTATCCTTTATATCTCCTAAAGAAGCAAAGATATAAATAAAATTCCAAATGTATCCTCTATTATACAAAAAAATAATTGATAGGTGTCTGGTACTTTTTTAAAAATCTAGACTTTATGGAGCTTAAAGGGTAAAAACTGTCCCCATAGAACCTTCCCTTAACCTATTTATCTTCGAAACAAATGACCACACAAATAAAACTTAAAATTTATCCTATTCTAATTAAATTCTATTAGAAATCCTTTCGGTACTTTTTAGAAATTCGGGCAATGAAGGGATGAAAACGGTGTCTAAAATTGGTACTTTTTTTAAAAAAATTTTTTCTCATTAGAATTATGATATGTATAATAATAAAATTTATATCACAAAATCGTAACTTATCAAAAAATAACAAATACAAATTTAGTACTTTTTAGAAAATTGTACCCATTTTTGGTACAGTTTTAATAAAACATTGTTTCCTATTTACCAACATACATATATGTATATTTATATAATTACGGGCCCTTAAACATTTCTTTTACTTAAATATGTACCAAAAAAATGGAAAAATCGGAAAATTTATTTTTATTCATACTTATTGGGCCAGTTGTGATAAATTTTGTAAAATTAATTAATTTAGTTACTCGAAATAAGATAATGGCATGTTATAACAAGGCCTATATAAGACCAAATTCTAAAAATAGTTTAATACTTTTTGAAACATATTTTTTTTGAGAAATTAAAAACAGATTTTAGACATTTTTCGTTTCTATCTATGATCTAAAAATTTAAGCACTGTATATTTAAAAGTTATAATATTAGACCTAGAAACATAAAATTAAACATGCAGCCCTGAGTGAATGAGAATTTATAATATGAGACTTTTGGTTACTTTTTCGATCTTTTACTGGTATTAATTAAACGTTTAATGAGAATAAACAACATGGAACGATAAAGTGTTCTTCAAAAGTTACTTTTTGAATTTTTTATAATATTGAACCTAGAAATATGAAATTGAACATGAAGGGTCCACAGTGTGTGAGTATCTAAATGCGAACTTTTAGTACTTTTTCGTTCTTCAACGAATACCTTTTATGATTTCTATAATATAAGAGGACTTTTTGGGTACTTTGGAGTTTTTCGAAAGGTGTTTTTTAGCTTTTCAATAATATTGGTCAGAAACATAAAATTAAACACACATGGTTCTGTGCATGGAAATCTGTATGAATGTTATTCAGCTGGTACTTTTTGAGTTTTCTATAATATTGAAATATAAATTAAAAAAGAAGTGTTTTATGGTTCTTTTTTGTTTTTTTTTTCGTAGAAACATAAAATATGGAAGGGACTTTTGGTTCTTTTTCGCTCTACTTTCTGATTTTTCTATATAATTGGACTTAGAGGCATAAAATTAAACACACAGGGTTCCAGTTGAATGGAAATCTGCACAAAGGGAATATTTTTTACTTTTTCGTTCCTCAGCCGGTAATTAAGGAGATTTCTAAAGTAATTATTCCCAAATATATTAAATAAACATTAAAGGTCCTTTGTGGATTATCAATAATATTGGTCTTAGAAACATCAAATTTAGCATGCAGGGTTCTGAATGAAAGGAAATGTGTATGAAGGTACTTTGATACTTTTTATTTTTTAACTGGTACTTTCAAAATTTTCTATAATATCTCTTTTTGATATTTCTACAATATAATAAACGGTCCTACGTGAATTAAAACCTATATGAAAGTACTTTTTTCTCAATGGTACTCTTTAAATTTTCTTTTACATTAAATCTAGAAACAAAAAACGAAAAATCTATAAGAAAGATCTATAAGTTCCCGAGGC